TTGTTGGAGAGAGCAAAAGAGAGAACATAGGTCTATAGTATCACCACCAAATACATTGGGTGTTGATACTAGCAAGTAGTCACTTTATTCACCAAGAAGTAATTAATAAAGTCTCTACTCAGTTAATAAGATGATTCTCCTATTTTGTGTGCATTGGGTGGTATTGTATGTGTGGGAGGAGAGAGAACAAAAAAAGAAGAAAACGACAAAGCCTGTGTTTCCAAGGTATATGCATGTAGAACAATATTTGAAAAATGCAAAAGAAAACTGAATATAGTAAATTTAGTCACTGCTATATGTATATATACTGAAGTCTGTTCATAGGAAAACTATCAAAACATGATAAACTCAAACCTCATTATGTTAGAAAAGCAGGAAGAAACCGGGTCTATTATTTTGTAGAAGATAATCTCAAGGGAAATATGTTTGCTAATTCACATGGTGGAAGGGTTGCCACTTGTAAAGATAATAGATTCTGATGGCTCCTGCTTTTTTTAAAGAACAAAGCCCATATGTCTCAGTTTGGCATCTGATTCCAGCTGATTTGCTCAGTTATAAAGCAGACATGATGATGATGATGATGATGGTGACAAGACAACAATAGTGTTACTATAATTTTGAAGTAAGACATGCATATAGTAAATGCTTAACAAATAATTTCTACCTTTAGAATTACTATTATTGTTGTAAATTTCCATCATTACTTTCATATAAAAAAAAGCTGGAATTTCAAAGTACTTGGGATATAACCCTACAATATTGATTAAGGATTTGAGAGAAATTTAATTTTACATTTGTTTCTTATAACAACTGATGAGTAGTTACATAATCTTCTTCATCTTGGGATGAAGAAAGCCTTATTCAGTAACCATCAAAGACTCAATACATAAGGAAAATATTATTTTCTATGCTACATAGAAATAGAAAAAAATGTTCAATTAACAAAGAATATATCAAACAAAACAGAAGAGACAACCTTTTTCTCAAGGTAAACTGGGAAGTTAAATACATTTAAAATATAGAGAGCACACAGTATTCATTAAAAGAAAGAGATGGGAGGGGGTAGTGCATCTACAAGCAAAGCAGCACCACTGGTTACCGGCAACACTAGAAGCTAAGAAAACGATAAGCAGCAGATTCTCCCCTGTAGTTTTCAGGGAGAGGATTAACCTAAAACCCAATGTTGAACTTTTAGCCTCTAGAAATGGAAACTAATAAATATCTATTGTTATAAACAATCCAGTTTATAGAACTTTGTTCAGCAGCCCCAAGAATGCAATATGCACAATGAGTAATTGTTGAACATATTGCTTTGTGTGGCCCCAGTGGGTAGATTCTGCAAGGACTTTATATAAGAAAGAACTTTTTATAGGCAAAACAGTTCATAGGTGAGATGACTATATCAGGAGACACTGAGCTTCCCATTGTGACAAAGAATAAAAAGCTCTGCTGAATAAATATCTGATGGGGTTGTACAAAAACACTGCAAGTCACAGAGAGTTATTTAGACACTTCTAAAATCCATGCTTCTCAGCTATGATATTTATTTCAAATTAAGAAAATAGAGGGGCCTCCCTGGTAGTGCAAGGGGTTAAATACACTTTGAAGCAATCTGCAGCCTCTGTAGCACGAGTTCGATCCCTGGCTGGCCAGGGAGCAACCCACATGGCGCAGCAGACCTCTCCTGTCTTGCCCGCTGCTCCCCTCAGCAGTGTATTGTCAGTTGATATTCTTCTTGTTCTGTTCCCCACTCTGTCTCTGGTGAGTCCTCTCACCCCTCACATCTCTGGCCTGTACCCCAGCTCTTGTATGCATAAATAAACAAAAATCTTTAAAAAAAAGAAAATAGATAATTCTTTGGGGTCTATTCTGTAATCTAGGATCATTGAAATGAATAAAATAAAGCAAGTTGTCCTGTTTTTAGTTGGGTCAGGTGATATTAGCACCATCTGCTGGTATGTGTACAATCTCATGACTATGTAATATTTACACAAATTGTCTGGGACAGCACATAACACGTGTTCAATACAAAATTATTTTCTTTTCCTTTCCTTTTTTTCTAGAAGAGGAAAGAGAGCTAACCATGAATATCTTGAAGTTTCTAAATTTAATTTAGTTAAAATAAGTCTTTACATTTGATGAAGATAATTAACATAACAAAGTTCATTCTAAGCACTGTTTTACAGTTAATTGATCTTACTAGAGTGGAAAGGAATAGAATTTGTATATAACTGTGACAAAATATGAGATTACAACTAGAATGTGTATTGAGTTCTTATATATTCAGAAATAATGCAGGCTGGAAAAACAAAACAAAATGAATTATTATTTTAAATCAAAAGATTTAAAATAATATTAAATTGAAAGATTCAATTTAACTAACTGGTGCAAAGACATGATGACCAGACCACTTTCAGGGCAAAAAGTGTTATGGCAAGATTGAGCTAAACACAAAATTCTAGCAGAATATTTACCTAGGAAGTAGACTAATAAAATTAATGCAGTGGTGGGCATTTAAATGACATTTCTTCACTCCAAATTGCATATTGGCAACTACCAAACTAAGAATGATAGGCTTACAAAGAATATTTCATTGAAGTGTTATTTATATAAAGAATGGCCAGAGTGAACTATAATTCTATAGCTGCACTGTAAATATAAGGCAAAAGTTTGAAAAATGTCCCACCCAAAATACATTATGACTTTCTTGATCTCTTTGTCTTTCAATCAGTTTGAAAACCATCTAAAAAGAAAGGCCATTTTTTATTCAATTCTAATTTCTCAAATTTAATTTGTTTTAAAATTTCACATTTTCCCGCAATATCCCACAAACAGCTATAGACATGTTATTATTTTTTAACCCAAATCTTATGAAATAATAGACAATGAAAGTACATCTAATCCCTGGCCCAAATAACTTCTGGGGAAAATTATGTATATGCCTGGTGCTAAGACTAGCTAATTTTTTAAATATTTTAAGAAAAGACAGTCATAGTCAGAAAAAAAGTGTCTGATAAATGTTTATTTAAAATATGCACCCAAGCTAGGTTGGAACCCTATGATATCAGATCTCCTTCTGAAATGTTTACCCAAATTCACAAGTCTTTTAGACTGTCTCCATACAGAGTTGCTGGCTCAAGCAATTTTGCTCAAATGGGCTTCTGTAGTAGCTTTCTATGTTGCTCCAACAAAAATATTTTCAAGAGCAAGGAACTTTCTTCTTGAAGGAACATTTCTGCACACTGAAATGTTTATTTTAATAATTCTGCCTTTTGGAACTAAACAAACTGAGAAATTGAAGAAGCAAAATAGATAAGTAAACAATTTTAGAGACTTTAGCTATATATTATCAATTCCTTTTCTAAAAAGTTTTCCAAGTAGGTCTCCCACACTATCAGCTCTCTCCTTTAAAAAGTCTGACAACAGCACAGTAATGGAAATACAGGTGAGAGAAAAGATGATTAGAAGTACTTGAGATCTAGGGCCTCCCCGGTGGCGCAGCGGTGGGTTGCGGAGCTGCCCGCGGCCTCTGCGGCACCGGTTCGATCCCCGGCTGCTCCCTGGCCACCCGGAGGAGGGTCCCACATGGCGCGCAGACCTCTCCTGCCGCCCGCTGCTCCCCTCAGCAGTGTACTTCGGTCCTTCTGCCTGCTCTGCTCCCTGCTCTGGCTCTGGTGAATTCTCTCACCCTCCCTTGCTTCTGGCTGTGCCCGGTGCATATGTATAAACAAACAAACAAACAAACAAACAAAAAGAAGTACTTGAGATCTCCATTAGAATTGTGTTAATTCCAGTATACATTTACTGCATTGACATTAAAATTCTTGCTCTGATATTCATTAGCCATGTGCCCTTGGGGCATTTACTTCATTTCCAGTAGTCTCATGTGCAAATTAGGGTACATAATATCTACATGCTAATGTTATTGCAAAGTTAAATTATGTTTTACACACAGAGCATCTGTCACATGGGGACACATAACAAATAGTGATACTCTCCTTTTCCTTTTTTGATGACTAATTGGGGAGGGGAGTGTGGGAGGAATTAAAACACACTTAGAATTACTCATTGCACAATTTGGCTTTTTTTTTTTTTTCAAAATGATATTGGACAGTTTATAGAGATAGTTCCAGAAAAGGCAGGGTAACCTGCCTTTTATTTATTTTATTTTTAGTAGACAAAAACACAACATTTTCAGAGACAGATCTGAAACTGAGTGAAGGATGGATGTATGTGATTACATTGAACTATTTTACATTCCAAAAATTTCAAGAACATGTTCACATGCAATCTCACTCACATCATTACATATCTGGTGTACCTTTATGCCAAGCCCAGCAATATGCCTGGCTCTACATAAAGGTACACACATCAAACACGGCTTGGGTAATTTAAGCTTCTATGTTTCCCAGTCATCTGATAGGCTTCCTGACGAATGCTGTGGGTGGTTGATGTCAATACCAGACTGCTAAGGAAAATAAAGACAAGCCCCGGGGTATTGTCATGGCTGGTTTCTCACCAGTGCATGACAGCCTCCACAAGCCTGGTATTCATTCATTCAACAAATATTGATTAAGCACCAACTTTGTGCCAGATTTTGTATGGTCCCTAGCTAGAATACAGCAATAAACAAAACCTATACTGTTCTTGGCATCATGGAGCATGCAGGTCATTCATACTAGTGTCAGAAAGATGAATCTGTAAGTAGTTGTGTAGGTAATTAGAACATTAATAAAAAGGAAAACTAGACAGCTCCATGAACATGACTGAAAGATTTAGCAGACCTCACTGGAAGATAACCTAAAATATCTGATGGCACTGATGCTATTATAGTAAGATGATACATAAATATGTAGTCACAACTAAAACTTACAGAGGTAAAATAAAACAAAAAAGTTAGAAGTGTTGAAATATTTTCTGATACAAAACATTTTACATAATCAATCTCTTGTTTGGGTGATTCTTAAAAGTGTGATGATTGTCATTTGTTCGGAATTTACCTTTACTAATTTCAAGAATATCTTCAAATGGAGTCCAAGCATGAGTATCTTTCTAAGTTGGTCTCCTGAAGATAAAACATCAAGATACTTTATCAAGATATAATATTATTTGATGTTTCTGTGTTAGGATTTTGAACATTGAATTCTCAAACCTGTTAACTAACATCAACAGACACAGCCTCACTCTCAAAATGATGGAAAATTAAAAAAAAAACAAAAACTTGTAGAGTTAAGAAAGATGATATAAAGAATATTTAAGTATGCTAACAATTAGTGTAGTGGCTTTCTGACCTGAATAGGATCAATATTCACTGATAGGGGCCTTTTTTTTTACTATAAATTTTTGACTATAAATTTTTTTTTTGACCTGATTTTTGCCAATCACTGAAAAGGACTTAGTTCTTTTTTTAACACTTTCAGGCACTTCTCAGAGTAATTTCACACCTGAGAAGAGAAATTCTATCCTGTGAAAATATAAACAAGGATGTTTAAAAAAGAAAATAATAATAGTAATAAAATTTCTCTTCTCCCTACTTACCTAAAAAGTAGAAGAAATTATTAGTGTAGCTGCATTTCTATGTTATCAGTATGAAGTCTTTATAAATGTCTTTTTCCAGTCATAAATAAGCAATTTTCTATATTATTTTCATAATCAAGAATTCTTCTTTCCCTAAAACTAATCTCAGTTTCCGTATAAACATGGTTTGATTTGATTATGAAAACTGTTTGCTTTTAAAGTTATCCCAGAAACTTGCACATTTTATAAATTAATTTCTGTCACAAGTAATTTGTTGGGATATTAATTTCTACCTATGTACATAAATATGAGTAATACTATCGGCTATTATTTTTCAAAAACATTTTATAAATTAGGTAGGTGTAATTATTCACATTTTTCTGTAAAGAAAACTCAAGTCCAGAGAAGACAATTAACTTTCTCAATACTAGAGGGCTCAGAAGAGTCAGGTCTGGGGTAGCTTATGAGGTGTCAACAATGGATTGCAAAAAAAGATCCAAGAGGGAGATTTTTTTCTGGCAGGATAATCATTTAGTTCACTTTATCATTATGTAAGAATAAATATTATGTTCCTATACATGAAGAGGAGGGTAGACTCTGCCTTCTAAGAATAGGAGTAAAATAAAAAGAATGTAATTCCTGCTGCTCTTAGTTTTTTTTTTAAATGAAGATTTTGATAGGTACAATTACATATGCATATATATACATGTATATACATTTTTACCTGAACAATTATTTATTATTAAAATTTATGTACATTGAACAGGATGCCATTATTAAATATTTTTCCTTAAAAAGTTTCTATTCATGGGGCCTCCCTAGGGGTTAAGTCTCAGCACTATGAAGCTATCTGCAGCACAAGTTCAATCTCTGGCCAGGGAGTTAACCCACATGGCACATCACACCTCTCCTGTCTCATCCACTACTCCCTTCAGCAATGTATTTCAGTCAATCTACCTATTCTGCTCCCACTCTGTCTCTGGTGAATCCTCTCACCCCCCCCAACACCTCTGACCTATACCCCAGCTCTTGTATGCATAAATAAATAAAATCTTAAAAAATGTTATTAAAAAAGTTTCTATTCATGAGTAGAAAATACGTCCTGTCTCCTCCAAATATTCAATCACTATGCAACAAAATAGTCATTACTAGCAAAAATTTTGAAAAGGTGGTCCTTCCTTGATAAAAAAAAACATTAGATTGTTATCACTTGGTGTTTTTGGTTTCAAGATATAGGAAATAACTCTAGTTAGCAAAAAAAAAAAAAAAATAGTTTATGGGACCTGCAGCAGCTCCCAAAGGTGAAAGATTAACCTAAGAAAGAGCAAGAACCAAGGCAACTCAAGCAGACAAGGGACATCATCTACAGGGAGGAACCAAGTGCATCAGCACCAGCTATGTCTGTCTCTGGGCACTGAGTTGAAGATTCCCATTCCAAAGAGAGAGAGGGTGCATGTGATATCCTTTGGGGCACAAACTGCTAAGAGAGGGAAAGACATCTTGATTTGCCCACTTATCACATGATACTCAGTGAAGAATAAGTAATTTCCTCAGCACAAAAGAAGGCTGACTTAACCAAAAGAGGAATGAGCACTAGGAGGGAATATTGAATAAATAAAAGTTAAAAATCCCAACACAGTAACTGTAATATGTTAAGTCTCCGTGTTGTTTTTTTTTTTAATAGAGGGAGCCAACATTTGCTATTTTCCATTTTAATTTCTGTTTTTTTTTTAATAAAATAAACACAGTGACTTTTTAGATGTACTAAACATTTTCAATGCAAACAGAATAGATGCAATTAGTTTCTAGAGTCAGTTTGCACTTTTGGCAGCTATGGGAGCAGGTAGCTTCCATTTCAAGAAAAAAGGCTTTCATTTCCAAAGCTTTCTGGGTTTTTTGATTGTTTTGGTGGGAGGAGGGCTCAAATAGTCATCGAGAAATTTAATTTCATTTACTTCTACCTACTCTTCTATCCCTAGTCCTTCACACAAGCCTTTGGGTTCATATTTCTTCATATGTAACTCCTGAGAAAAATTACATAGTTTCTGTGTCATGACTCCAACTTTCAGACTCAGCATATAAATCTTCTTAATTTGATACTCATTTTACCAAGCTGTCTAGAAAATGATTATTTCACTTTGGAAGTACAGATCACTAGATCTTCACTTTTTGTGCTTTTTGGTAAGGTTTTTGTCAGTTCAAGGTTTTTTAGGTTTTTTTTTGGGGGGGTTCTTTTTTTTTTAAAGCAGCTCTAATGAACTTTCTAATTTTGAGAGCTACATAGATTTTCATAGAGATATATTATAACCTATATTATAACTTATTTCAGTGCGATATATTCTCCATAGAGATCTATGTAGAAAATTATCTATTTTTTACCTCTTTCTGTCTCACATTGCATTATTAGGAAAGAACTTTTCAGTATGAATTTCATGAGATCAAGCAGATGACTAATTCCTGTCACACAGTTGCAATCATTTCTTAACTTTTCCTTCCCTGAAAATATTCCCTACTCTGTGATATGTTGTTCTATATCTGTATCATTTATTAGGCAGAAAAGATTTAACATAAATACAGAGTTGATTTTTAAAGTAATTATTACAGGGAAGGAGTGCTTCCTGCGTGCAGGTAATCTTACAATTCTTGATCTAGATGCTGGTTCAGTGAATGTGTTTGGTTGCTTTGTGAAAATTCTTCCAGCTGTCTAGTTACGATTTGTGCACTTCTTAGGTTCCACTAATCCACCCACAAATGCCTACTATGTCCCTGAAATATCATAATACACCCCATCCTGAAGTCACCCCTTTAAAGCACAGTGAGGTTATTTTTTTAAGGAGCCATCACTTGCTTTCTTTGCCTTATATTAACCCTACACCAAATTATACGTGTATATTTAATAGGACAAGCCACATGAAAGAGTCATTATTTGACCATTCTACAATTATTTTATGAGGTTCAACCAAATAGTTTAGATATATACAATTATAGGGTATGTCTGTTGAGAAACTATGTTCAGGGACTTGGAAGTTTGAATGACTTAGTAGAAGATAACTTTGTGAAGATTCTTATGATTTACATAAAATTAACACTCAATTTTTGTTATTATTCATCTTTTCCAGACAATTACTGAGAAACGATGGGAAGCTCAGACACCTTTTTCAATGTTCAAGACTGAAAGATGAGTGAGACATACCTCTAAAAAACATATAATCCAATGGTCTGTACTCCATTTGAATTTCAATGAAAACATTAGCTTTAAAAGTCTGGCTGCCAACTGATTATTACATTTAAAATTCTATTTTCTCTATTTGTATAATTAATGTAATTTGTTTTTAAAAAAGAAATACCTGCTCATTACTAAAAAATGTTACAGAAATGTGCAAGTTAGAAGGTAAATTTCCTGTACTGGTGTGATCAATTATAAGATTTTATAACCTATTTCAGTGCGATTTATTCTAGTCATATTAAGGAATCACAAAAGAGTTTTGTAATAAGACCTCGGGGTGTCTTGTTCTGAGGAAATACAAGTATAAAAAGAGGCAATTACATTCCAGAGATCCTATGCTGTCAAAATACAAACATGCTCAAGGAATCCTGTGACAAATATAAAACTATATAATAAATATATATATAAAATAAAATTGTCCAAAGATTCCTGTTGGAAAAGCTTGAAAGAAAGGAATACTTCTTGAATAAATATAAAGAACAAAGAAATTCCAAAAATAAAAATAAAAAACAAAAACAGTTCAGAGGATTCTTAACTTAACAAAAAGTGAAGAGTTATTAGACTACTGTCTGCCACGGTTCAAAAGTGACTCTTTCCATTCCAACATCAAATAGTGAAGAATGAAAAGCCACAAGTCCCTTTGCAAAACTTGGCCTGCAGTTTTTGCAGAATGTCTCAACCCTCCCAGTGATCTGGGCCAGAAGTCACCTAGTTTTTCAGCCTTCTCTGGGATAAGTTGTGCAGTGGAGGCAGTGGTAAGGTATCAAGAAGACATTTAAAAGAGTTTATTCCAGAGCATACACTGCACAAATCCAATTCCTTTGCAGTGATAAGTGCATTATCTCTAGGACTAAGGTTAAGAGAATGAATTGAGAAGGCTATAATTGTGAGAAGTAAACTAAACAGTTTTCGAACTTTTGTATCAGATCATCTTCATACTCTTAAAAACTATTGAGGACCTTAAAAAGTGCCTTAGGTGGGTTATAGCTAATGATATTTACCAGTTACAAATTAAAACCAAGAAAGAGTTTAAATATTATTTAACTCATTTTAAAGTGGCAGCAATACATCTATTACTTATTGACATGAACAATTTAGTTTCATGAAAAAGAAAACTTGAGTGACATACCTCCATGTGTCTGATGCTCCTAGGCATCTTGCTATGCATGCTGAAAATGCAAGATTCTGACAGCTCTTCTGGTTTTCTCATGGTTGTGTAAAACAGTTAATAGCCTTGAGAGATAACGTAAAGTTTCCCTGTAGGATAAAGAACAGATTTGCTTATCTCTGACTCTACATGGCAAGGCCCCAAGATCAGTTCCTCTCCTACCATGCAACTCACTGTGTGTATGACCATCCATCTCTGCCCATCCATGCCCTTCTGGAGATTTGGCACTTACTGGGGAGACTAATGTGAACTTGCTGAACCTCTGGCTATTAGCTTTGCAGTAAGTAATAAAGTCTATTGACTCCAACACAGGAGTCTCAACAAGTCATCTTATCTCGCAAACAGTGAAATACCTCAAAGACTATAGTTCTTGATAAAAACAGCAACAAAAAATATAATGAGAAGAACAATGTTAACTTTTTTGCAAAATTTTAATACCTGGATAATAGAAGAGAGGTTCTCATCTGATTTAATTCCTGTAATATTTTGTTTTAGCTGGAATAAATGAAGAAAAGCTGGCCTCACACATACATGAACTGGAAAGAAACAACTTTGCTGACATGGCAATAAGATTTCAGGATCCCAGTGGTCCTGCTCTATGGATACACAGTTCAGTGCCAACTTAAGATGATTTTACTGTAGGACACTCTGCATTTACATGACTTAGCTATTCACAAAATCACTGCTTCTGAAGGTGAATTTGCAAATAATTTTAAATTATTGGTTTTGTAACTATTATTGTTGCTTCTGTTATTGTCTTTCAATATTTGTTACAAAAACTTCCTGTAAATCCACTTATCCATATAAACCATAAAATTTGTTCTCATGTGCTATATAGATCATTCATGGGTATCATTAAAAGCTGTTTATTCTTCAAAGCTGACTTAAAAATCTTTGCCTTTCTGGACCCACCAATCTCAAACTATTATTTCATAAGTGCTGGTCAATTCCAATCAGCCCTCCTCCTACCTCCTTCATTGAAAGATCCATCCTAAACTAGACTCACCAGCTCATACAAACAGCCTGTCTTTGACCTTCCCAAGACAATATTAGAACATTGTCAATATAATGTTCTCCCTTAGTGCAATAAGCAATAAACTTGATTTTCCTTTATAAATAGGTTAGTTTGGTAGTCTTTATGTTGTCAATCAACAATTTCCTATTTAACTCATTTTAAAATGGCAGCAATACATCTATTACCTAGTGACATGAACAATATAGTTTAATGAAAAAGAAAACTTGAGTGACATACCTCCATGTGTCTCGTGCTCCTATGAATGGGTCTCTGTTTTTTTTAAGGTTTATTTATTTATTTATGCATATACAAGAGCTGGGGTACAAGCCAGAGACATGGAGGGTGAGAGGATTCACCAAAGATAGAGTGGGGAACAGAACAGGCAGACTAACTGAAACACACTGCTGAGGGGAGCAGCAGGCAAGACAGGAGAGTTCCGCTTCACCATGTGGGTTGCTCTCTGGCCAGCGGGGATCCAACTTATGCTGCAGAGGCTGCAGTTTGCTTCATAGTGTGGTGCTTAACCCCTTACACCACAGGGAGGCCCTGAATGGGGCTCTGTTTTGAAAAACTAAGTATCAGATGTGCTTAATCAGATCTTTTCTGCATATATTGGGGAGAAAAAATTCTGAGGTTCTTTATTACACGAAGAAATCTTGCTATCATTAAATCCTATAAAATTAGGGTTGCCAGATTTAGCAAATGAAAATACTGGTCACCCAATGAAATTCTAATTTCATAAAAACAATGAATAATTATTTTGGTTTAAGTATGTCCCAAATGTTGCATTGGACATCTTGTTTTATCTGCCACCTCTACATAAAACCTGTGTGGCAGGATGTATGGTTCTACTTTAATAATAAACATTTTCCAATAAATAAATATTTGCTTATTCTTGGTCCTGAAAGATCCCAATCACATTACAAAACCAAATATAATAATTGTCTTACTTTCGTTTGGTAAGGAAATTATAGGTGAAGTATGAAAGAGCAAAATTTCAAGGTAAATGAAAAATTCTCACTCTCTCAAAGAATCCTGAAACTATTTTGTTTAAAATTTTGTGCACCAAATTTTAAGATTTTAGTACAAGTACAAACTATGTGGCATGATAGTAAGAAACAGAACTGAAATTATATGAAGAGAAAGTCACGGAAATGCAAACACTATCCACAGCATAAAGAAAGTAAGCTGTGGGGGTAGAGTGGAGATGCCAATGATGAGATTATTCTCCTTATAGTAACAAGTGTTGTGGGTTTTTCTTTTCCTACATATCTTCTAGGCTCCACATATTGCAATGGTACAGTCCTTACTCTGGATTTCAGGGCACACACATGGCACACCTAATATTCATCCCATCCTCATGCCCAACATTTGTTGAGACCATCTCATGTTCAAGGTGAATGAACAAGAACAATCTTCAAACTCCTTGATATAATACTACAATTTTACATAACTGAAGCATTTGGAGAATTAGTGTTTTACATATTAATAGCATCTGACATAGAAAAAATATACCAAACTGAGAGGTATATTTGTGTCTCTCCAAAATTTATGTTGAAATCATAATCCTCAATGTGACAGGATTAGGAGGTGGGGCCTTTGGGAACAGATTAGGTCAGGAGGGTAGAGACCTCATGAATGGGACTGGTGCCTTTCTAAAAGAGAATCTTATGAAGATTTCTCCCTTCTATCCTTGAGGACACTGAGACAAATCTGCTTTCTATGAACCAGGAAGTGAGCTCTCACCAGACAACAAATCTATGGACAACTTAATTGATCCTGGACTTCCATTATGCAAGAACTGTGTGCAATCTGCTGTTTCTGAGTCACCCAGTGTCTGTGATGTTATAGTAGTGTAAGTGAACTAAATTCTCATATAAGGACAACAATCACATGGGATTACCCTAATAACTTCATTTTATTTAATTACTTCTTTAAAGACTCTATCTCCAAATAGTCATATTCTAAAATACCAGGGGGGTTGGGACTTCCAACATATGAACAGGGGTAACACAATTCAGTTCTTAACAATTCCCCCCCAAGTCTTGGTTTCCTCTCTCATAAAATCAGGATATTGGAAGTGAACAATCTAAAGTTTCTTCTCAATCTGTGATTTATATATAATAAATCAATTACCTGCTACACTTTATGAGCTACAAAATTAAAACTAGTCAGTGTAAGATTCAAGAAAACTAATATTCATCAATAGAAATGTCTGAAATCATGATGCCAATATAATGTTAATGAAGATCACAGATGGTAGATGTTAATTTGAATTTCAAATAGTTTTAGCTTTTTAAGTATAATGAAATGATTCAGCAAAATTTGCATGAAAGGAAAAATGTAAATAATTGTCTCTATCTTATTCCAGCAGGATATTCTGCATATATCTGTTCAAACTTCTGATCAATGCTAAAAACAAAAGCTTTTTAATTGAGACTATGAAAATTAGATAATTCTATAATACTATGGCCTACAGCTTGAGGCTATAGGAGATTTGTATTTGCATTTCATTCTTGTTCTTTATTTTCTGTAAATCTTTTACAACTAAATTTACTGAGTCACCCAGTATCTGAACTTTTCTCAAAGCTCATCATTCTTTATTAATGAGCTAGCAGCAGAAAAACTTCTGTCTTCAAATTCTCCTGAAGATATTCAGGGGGGAGCCATCAATAACCTTTCTATTGCACATTCAAAGTCTCCATAAACTCTTCCAATGCATTTTGGTCATAGTCACAACACCAAGAATGCTTTCAATGAGAAGTGATCTAGAGCAGTGGATTATAAAATTGGTCACAGCACCTTAAAAATAAGATTATCCAAATCTCACCTCTGCATATTTTGATTCAATATATTGAGCCCAAATGAAAAAATCTGACAAGGACATTACTCCATACCTTCTCTCCCCAGAAAGATTTTGATAAATATGATTCACCTGTGTTTGGCAATTGCTGCTAGAACCCTGGATCTCATAAGCTTTGTAATTTTGGAATCTATCTGCACCCCCTGGAGCATCAGCATGGTTTGGCTTTATTCTCTGTTGCCAAAGATACTCTTTATTCCACAAGGTCAAAAACCATATGTAAGGGAATAATAGCATGTTGTGAAGGTATGGAGATTCATTTGAGATATTTTAACTAACTAGGGAAATCCTATTCCCTAATCATCAAAAACCATATATCCCTGATTCTAACTTACATAAATCTGAAAGAAAGGGTTAAGACAATTTTCTTGCCTAACCTTATCCCAAAGTACCAGTCTGCAATAGTCATCTGTAAGAAAAAAATTTGGAAGATTCTGAAATGTAATAAGAACACTACTAGTTGATCAATTCAGGTATTTCTGCCTTTGCCTTTGACTATCTCATTTTATAAAACACAGAGGTTGTAGAAAAAGAGTTGCACAAAACTGTTGGTATGAGAGTAATTTCTGTCCATAAAAATGCAAATTACACCCTGGGAACTGTCATTGATTATTGCGCTGTGAATATTGACCAGTTTTGTACCCATTTGCAAAAGTCAGCATTCCTTATCTGAGAATAAATATTTGATACTTTGAGCTTTCTTTTGAGTAGTTTATAATCTCGTACTTGTCTCATTAATCAATGATTTAAATAAAAGAATTGACGGGTGTTCACTCTGTAAGAATTACGAACATATCCATTTTTAAAATTTATCATTTAACTTGTTCATTTATTAGACAAAAGCTTATTGACTACATATCAAATCCCATATTTGTTATAATAGTAAACAAAAGACACATAGCCCTTGTTTTTATAACCTACAATTGAAAAAGAAACAAAGAAGTAAAAAGGTTCAAAGTAAGCAAACAGTAACAATTATTGTGTCTGTGAGTTAAGCGGATGTCTTCCAAAGATCCCAGTATACTGGCATTTATGCTCTTACGCCAACCCCTCCCCTTGTGGATGCGTTGGATTTATTTACTTTTTTATAAAGGATGCATTGGAGTGGAGTGGGATGGGATATATGGAATGGATTGGAATGGAATAGGATGTGATGGAATATAGCTTTTTACAAGTACTGCAGAAATAAAAGAAATAAGTTCATGATGCTA